TCTGCATAGCTTTCCCCATCTAGGAATCCAAAAGTGCTTTGCAAACATTGACTTAATCCTTGCAACATCTCTACGTGGAAAAACGTCTCGGTTTTACAGACAGGGAACCTGAAACATAAAAGACTTAACTTCGCTCAATGAGTCTGCAGGGTGCCAGTGGCACAGCCTGAATCTCTCCATCCCTGCTCAGTTGCAGCGCTGGAAGAGTCTTGGCCCCCTGCAAGCACTGACAGTAGTTACTATGCAGCTTTCTAAAGGGATGTGTGATTGGCAAGATGCTGCTGGCATTGTCCTTGGAGCCCTTCCATGCCAGGAAATGCACACGGAACATCTTCACTGTCTGGTTTAACCAGGGTGACGAGCATCCAGGTCTGAACAGTCCAGCTAGCCTTGTCTCAGTGTGACCACAGCAGGAGCTGTGTAACCGTGTCCTCCCCATTCCTGCACTTGCCTCTGTGCATCTGTGACGTGTGCTTTAACTTCGTTTGCCAAGATGCTTAGGGCTCTTTCCCACAACTGCTGGTTTGCCCTTCAGGGGAGACTATGGGAAAGACATTGGAGGATTGATGGCACTGAAGTGATCTTTGACGGTATCTTCGTTAGGGAGTGAAGAGGTTGGGAAAGGAAGAAGCGGGGGGGGGGGGGGGCAAGTGGTTCAACCTTTCTCCCCCAGCTCTGTAAGCTTACACTGATGGTTTTCATTTTCTGGGGTTTGTGCTGAGAAAGCAAGGAGCAGTGACTCTAACTCAGGTTAGTGGTGCGGTAGGCACCCACTCCTACAAAGAGCCCTTGCCATAGCCAGCTTCCAACAGTATGTCCTTTGGTACCTGGGAGGGTAACTTGGAAATACAGTGAAATTATGCTCTATGTCAGTGACAGAGCTTGGAAGGGAACTGAGACCTCCTTCTGTGACAGATCCATGAGATCAAACACTCTGATCATAAAGCAAAACACAAATGCAAGAATAAATAAACCTTTCTTAATTCAATCAGCCTGGATATTCTTGAATCCCATAAAATAACTGCCAGCGGTTGCTTGAGAAGAGGTTGTTATAAACATGGCTTAGAAGGAGGGGACATCCAAACTTTGTGCAACCCGGTGATTGCATTGGCGATTTTCCAGGAGCCCCATGGGCTGCTGCTAATTGCCATCAACTTAAGAAGGTTGCAGCCACCCTCGTCTTTAGTGCAAAGGCAGGGCCCTCGGGAGGCGGCAGGTTCCAGCGTGTGGCTCACATTGAGAAGGAGCACAGCACGCTGGGACATGTAGTCTCCTCAGGCCCTTTGTCCCTGTTGACAGAGGTCTGGGAAAGCTGCAGGCCACATTGGACACCTTTGCAAAGGTTTGACAACCCCTGTCTTGAAAGAGGGGGGAAGAATTAGATTTGGCTTTCTTTAAGTTCATGGGCTGTTAATCAGCATTCATGAGATTTAAAAATAAATAAAAAACCCCAACAAACCTCATTTCCTCTCTCTCTCTCCTCTGCCCAGAAGCAGACTACTGGTAGAAACCTAAGCTGGAAAAAATAGTTGAAAGTCAGCTAAAGTCACCTTGGTAACTGCAGCAATACACTTGCCCAGAACAGGAGACATCAAACCCAACTACAAACAGCTTTAAAGAAACAAAAAGAATGTAATCATCTAAAGAATTAATCTGACAACTGCCCACGTTTACACCTCCCACCAGCTCCCAATCAGAGGGAAATGCGCTTTAATCTCCTCCAACTCCCCTCCAGTTTCACAAAACATGAGATGTGCAGTCCTTAAACTGGGGCATTTCCGGCATGCCATTTCCATTTAAATCTACAGCCTTTCCTAATGCAGCAGCCTGGCTTTTCCAGACTTGTTTTTTCTGGACACTGAGAAACATGAATTTTTTTTGTGTGGGTTGGATGAAGTATTAAATCTGGATTAGACAAAGTTTGCAGCATTTTACATGATAGTCAGCTAGATCTTAGTCATAACAAGTAAAACTCCACTGGCTTTTGGTGCTGATTTATTTGGTGATGGGCTGGAGGAAGCAAAGGCTTATGGGTAACTGACAGTTGTAAAACCAGGGATGTTAGTGTTAGGAAGCAAACCTTTTCTACATTTTCTTCTGAGGCTCAAAGCTACAAGCTGTGGATGGCAGTGTGTGTTACGACATGAGCATTTCATTAATAACAACCTTGAAGTCCTGCTGACCCTTCATCTGGGCCATCGCCCTTTGGAAGGATTTCCATTCCCCAAAAGAGATTTTAAGGGGTCATGCCAAGTCCCTGTGTCATGCAACATATTCCAGAGTCTGCAAGTAATTGCACTGTGGCCTTTTGGATGTGTTATATGCAGTCCACAACACACAGCTCTTGTGTAGAAGGATTTAGCTTAGATAGATGATTATTTGGTTTCTGCTATTGGAGCTTCACCCTTAACTTTAAATAGCTGAAATTGTGTGAGAAACACAGAGACCGTGACTATTTCGGGAAGGTTTTGTGGAAAGGATTAATACTTTCATGTCATTCAAAGTATTAACTGCTATTTTGCTTCACTCCTTCACCTTTTTGACAGAAGGGCTGGTTACTTATTAATGTGAAGTCATAATTATTGACAGCCTTAAAGTCATGACAGTTCCGTTTGATAGTTACACATTAGTCAACATCTTCTCTTGAGCATGTAATGACAAACAGCATTTGCTGGTTTTAATAAGACTTAGAAAGCTTTGCCCCTTGCCTCCAGAATGTTGTCGTCATTCCTATTATTGCATTAGCAACCGGAGGCTGTTTTCCCTCCGGACTGCAGCCCCATTGTGCTAGCGGCTGTACTGGATAGCGTGGTGGGAACCTAAAATCCCACCTTCGGCTCAGGGAGGTTTGGAGCCATGGGGCATGGGGAACTGTCCTGTGTCTGTTTGTCCTTCTGACGCATAAACCTACCTACAGCAGCAGTTGCCTGGAAGGCTGTAAGGGGACATGCCCAGCACTTTTAGGCGGTCCAGGTGACAAGGGCACAGTCTCTTGTCTATAGCAGTAATATTGCTGTAAAGCTCCTGATCTGCTCCAGGGTGCATAAACTTCAGAGCTGCATTTAATGAGTGCAAGCTTATGGCCTGCTTGAAAATCATGCGTTGCTAATGGGTGACCCTTTGGTAGGGGTTGATAAATGAATGATTGGAAGCCGTAGACCACAGGCTGACTTTCCCACAGCTCACTGTGTATATAAGATCTGATAAGGAAGTTGAGGCAAAGCTTAGCTTAAGGTCAACTGATCATTAATCAACTGTAACTGCACTTCTCTGGTAATCAGCCTGTAAAATGCTGGCCCACTCCACTCTTTGAAGACCCCACCTACAAAGAGCTGTAAAATGTTTGCTGAAGTAGATTAAACATAGCTTTAAGTGCCACCTATAGACTACAAAGCATGTTGTGTCTTTGCTTCAGGGTTAAGCCACCAAACTTGACGCTCTTGCTGACTCTCAGTCCATCAGCCCACCCTGTTTATAAACTGTGTCCTGAGTTACTGTGTCCTTGCTGGGCCCACATTGCTTTTGTGTGTTGCCAAGGCAGAACCTGGGGCATGGTTCAGTTTTTTGTCTTGCAGGCAGCCAAGCTGCTTGGTTTATTTTTTCTCCTCGTGTCTGATCTGGCCATGCAGAGTATTTGCAGGAGAGCGCTGTGAGATATCAGAGTTTAGCTTGTATCCTCATTTCAGTCTGGGTGAAAGGCTCACCTAGGTCTGGGTGACCTGGCGAAGCAACAGGCTGATCTGCTTTGGAAGCCACACTGAACTATATTACAGTGAGAGTGGTGGATGAGAGTTATTCTGGGACAGAACCCAAATGTAAAATCAAGTAAAGGTGTGATTTAAGTCAGCTTGTGAGGGTCAGGCTGCTTCTTTATGACCATTTCCAGATGTACATTAAAGTGGTTCCTCTTAGGTGGAGGAAAGACCACGTTTACCAGTGTTCCCAAATGGAGCCACAGCCTGATAGCCTTGTTTGGCTTTTTGTCTGTCTGACACGATGTAAACACATTGCAGTGTGGCATCTCCCAGTTTCCTTCTCCTTTCCCTGTCCTACTCTGGTGATTCTGTGCTACAAAAACTATCTTAACAAAGTCTTAACCTCTGTTAAGTTCACATGGAATGCCAGGTGGCAAAAATACATCGCATGGCAGACACATCACAGCAGTCTGTCATCTGCAAAAATTGTAGTCCCCCCTTTTCTTTGTTCTGGCCTATCAAGTAAGGGATCGCGCTGATGCTCTTTGGACATATAAAGTGTTTATGATCAAGTATTTAGAGATATACCATTGAATTATCTAGAGGATTCTTTCTGGCAAAGTTCCTAATTATGTAACAGCATGACCTTTAGTCCCAGCTTCACAATATGCTGGTCTTGCAGAAATGAACGAATAAGAAAGCAAAGCTGTATTGTCTTAAAGCAGCTCTGTTTACAAGGGAAAACAATCTTCATATGTCCTACTTGTCACATGTAGAGTCCACCTTTTGGCTGTTGCACTTGATGCTGGTGGAAGAGGAGGGTTCTCAAAACATTTTGGTTGAACTGTGCAAAGAAATGACTTAGGGATGCCTCAGACCTCAAAGATATTCAAGCTAAGGCACCAGGGAATGGACAACTCTGTCCTACAGGCCACTGCCTAAAAATCCTGAAGATAAAGCAAAAGCAGGAGGGAAGGCGCACATGGTAATTCTTCCAAGCCATTTTAAGGGGTTTTGGAGAACGTAGGTTTGCTCCCGTTCTTTCCGGAAATTTTAGTTCTTGTATGCTGGGAAGGGATGTACCATGTGTGTGCACCAATTGAGATCCCAGGTCGTCAAATCAAGGTGAAGAGCTGCATGCTGGGGCTGAGGGAGGCTGTGTCTCTGTAGGAGTGATGAAAACTCAGATGTGCGTTTGTACAGTTTGCTCCTGTGTCCTTCAGCATTCACACAATCGCTCTGAAACACAGCCGAAAGCACACAGCACTGGGATCCTAAATATGTGCATTTTGTCTCTTCTCTTAGAAGCCGTAAGGACAGCTTAGAGAGCGAGAGCTCAGCAGCTATCATTCCTCATGAGCTAATCCGCACAAGACAGCTGGAGAGTGTACACCTGAAATTTAACCAGGAGTCCGGAGCACTCATTCCCCTCTGTCTAAGGTGAGCGAAGCTGTCCTCCTCCTCAGCTTGTGCTAACATGCTGCTTTTGCCTTGTGGCGTTGTTTCACCATACAGACATGCATGCAATGGGTCTTTAAAGGCCAGAGCTGAGATATTTTGCCAAAACACATTAGAAACAGATGATTCTTTGCATGTGTGTTCATCAGGGTAAGATTGTTTCTCATTCTTTTTATGTCCTTCAGTGTATTTTGAGTGCTGAAACAGGACAGGGTTAATGGGGGGGGGGGGGTATTAATGTAACACTGGCAGCTCTGTGATAAAGAAGGGATGTCTTAACATTCTCTGTCAAAGAAATCCCTTAAGTTGTTAATTCTGGCTTACGAGCTCAGACACAGGTGGTTGTGCAAAGTCTGTTTGCAGTCAGTTCATGCGTGCAAGTGTGTTTTTCAGCCAAATTATGTCACATACATGACAGAAGGAGCAAAAACATCGCGTGTGTACTCTGCACATTGTCTTTTGAAGGTTCAGGCTCCGCATACCACTGCAAGTGACTTTTCTGAGTTTCCACAGTTCAGTCAGCAGCATTTTTAAAAATACCTGTGGCAAATATCATAGTCCTTAACATAAAGATGAACTGTGGGGTTGAGACAAATGGTTGTAGGTGACTGAGTTACTTCAGCTTAATGGGTTACATATCTGTAGTATCAGAGTTATCAGCAGCTGGTGCACACTTGCCTGTGCCTGTTGAGAAACCAGTGGGATAGTTAACATGAATATATTTTATTTTACATCACAACTGTGTGAATGGTCTGTCTCATCAGTTACCACATCTCAGCTGACCAGCAGTAACTCATCAAGCAACTGGGATGTTAGGCGCAATGTATCTTACCTGAAGTTTTCCCCCTTGCATGTTGGAAGCCATGGGTGCGTGTTACACATGCTCTGAGCCTAAATACCAGAACCATGATTTTCCTTGTGGAAAGCACTGACAGAAAAAAAAAGGGAAATGATACTTTAGACGGTCAGGTATGCATGTTTTCTAGGCATTTGCTTAATACAGATTACGTTTATAAAGCACCAGGGCAATGGATTAGTAGGTATTGTCAGAGTAGGTAAGTTTAGCCCCACCGATAAGCCTGCTTAGAAATTCATCTTCAGATTCCCACATGATACGGAGTCCGGATTCCCTTCTCACAGTTTTCATCTTACTGAAAGACTGGTAGTCCTCTGCCCTTACATACGTCAGCACCTCATCATGGTGACAGGCATGCAGTGGGCTGTAGATGTATTCTAGTTCTGTAACAAGGCCCTGAGATTAAGGGGGGAGATAAAGGGGAACTCCCAGCTTCAGCAGGAGGCTTGTGACCTGCTTTGTGGAGCAAATCATACATATATATTGCAGAAAAATTAATAGTTGCTGCCTTCAAAAAGGTTTCCCATGCTGATGGCAGAAGGTGCAGTCTTCATCATTCTGTTGTTTGCTGCTCATACCCTCTCAATTCACACACGTATGTTTTATTCCCCAGGGGAAGGCTCTTACATGGACGGCACTTTACATATAAAAGTATTACAGGGGATACAGCAATCACATTTGTATCAACGGGAGTAGAAGGAGCCTTTGCTACAGAAGAGCACCCCTATGCAGCACATGGACCTTGGTTACAAGTGAGAGAGCCTCCTTCCTTTTTCTCCCCCTTCCTCCTTTAGTGTGTCCTAAAACTGATCCTGCTAAGGGCTTCTGTGGTTTAAAAGGGTAACAAACTTGTGTTTTCTGCTGCACCATCTCTTATAGCTCTTGCATAATATTTTCAGTAATTATGGACTCAAAAAATAATGGTGAACTGTTAACTATTTATATTAATGGAATTCAAATTGATGAGCAGTGGCTGGAAAGTTAAAAAATCATCTGTGAATGTAAGTGTGCATTTTGTGGAGTCAGCGAACACTTTACAGGCAGTATTTACTCTTGATTTCTTCCAGAAAGGAATTTGGGGAGGCAGAGTGGAATGACCTAAACAAGAATGGAGCCAGGGCAGAAGAGCTAGAAAGCTGTGGGACTGTGATCCTGCAGAGCCAAGATCTCGGTTTTACATCATCACTAGCAGGGGAGCAGCACAGAGAGCACTGCTTCTTTCAGTTTCAGCTCTTTCCAATGGATTCTTTGACAAAAGCTCAAAAGCTTTCACAACGAAAGCACCCACACGTTTTCTGCACCCAGTTTTTCTGTATCACAGATTTTTCCTTGGAAGCTCCCCATCTGCTTAATTTTGAGGGTCAGCCCTATGGAGCAGTGATGCACTAATGATACGATGGTGTATCACTAGTCTGACCTTGAATTTCTTCATGGTTATGAACATATTGCAAAAATAAAAAAGCTTTGAGGAATGTGTTTATGCTGAAAAGCCCATCTCTGCGGGACTATATGCATGCACGAAGTCTCTGCCTTCATTGTTATTGTGGCATTCCTGCCTCCACTTCTGTTTTGAAGGCAGGGATTTGTTTTAGCATTGCAGTGTTGCAGTTAACCTTCCAGTGACTTGTTTTCAAGGCATTCCACTGCCCCTGTTCATACGTCTGGAGGACATCATACCTTGAAATCTATATGACTTGTAATGGAGCTGATCTTGGCTAGAATCATGTTGTGTGTAGGGATTTTCAAAGAGCTTGCGTGCTTTGATTGTACTGACTGAAAAGTGCAACGCTCCTCTAATGATTAACAGCAAAGGGTCAGGTTTAAGGGTGGGTCATTTGCTGTTGGTCCCTGTGCTTGCCAACACATGATACACAGGATCTTGTGACTGTGTTAACTCCAAACATAAGTGTTTGTTTGCATTTACATCACATCTTGAAATGTATTGATGTGTAGAGTAGTCAGGTAACCTCTAAATTGTGAATAACGGCAAGGATCAGGTCACCATTCAGACATGTTAACCCTTATGAACCTGGTTGATTCTATGTCTGTTTGGTAGAAAATTGTGGAAGATTTTTGGAGTAGGTTGGTGGGAAAGGTGAAGAATTGCTGGCTTCTGAGCAGCAATGAGAAGCAAGTTTCCTCGCTTGTCTCCTACACAAGGTCAATGTATTGGATTTTCTCATCTGACGTGGCTGGCTTCACTGCTGGCTCCTGCCCTGTCCTGTGATGAGCATGAAGGAGGACAGACTGGGTAGGGGAGGAAGGGAAGCTAAAAGCAGCACAGGACAACTGGAGGAGCACCCAGTTGTGCGATATACATGTGGGAGTGTCTGAGGCTCTTGGCTTAATATGCAATGGGAGGCTTCATCTGTGCTCAGCAGTCCCGTGTGGTGGTGTGAGTAGAGGAGGGAGGTTCATGTGGCTTTGCTTCAGAAGTAAAAGAAGTTGTGGTGCATAAAATTTCCAAGGAGGCGAGCTGTGTTTGGTTTAGTCCCTTGCAGCCTGGGCTGGCCGAGTTGGCAAGCCCTGCAAAGCTTTCATAGCAAGGCCCAGAGAGGATTTTCCTCCTCCCCTGCTTGGGACCCCAGGCGCAGCGATGAGCTCCAAGGAGAGCTGGTGGCTGAAAGCAGATCACTGCAGTGCAGGGGCTTGTTGCAAAGACAAGTAAATGGAGAGACTATAGAGAGAAAGAGAGATGGCAAGCATCTCCTCCTGTGGACTTTTCCCCTATCTTAGGGGAGAAATAAGAGCCTGAAAAATCCTGACCTTGGCTCTGCAGCAGCCAGCGACTGCCTTCTCTTGAGGCTGAGCTTTGGTGCAGTGAAAGCCCAAACCTGCAGACTAAACACAGTACCTCCTGTTTACATGCTGTGGGCTGGAGTGGAGCATGTCCAGGGTGGGACAGGCCATATTGCTGCTGCAGTCAGCCCCTGCTCCCAGGCTGAGCAATGAGCTGAGAGTCGCTGTGCTGCAGTGGAGGGCTAACAGATGACAGGAGTTTGGCAGGTCCCAGCGTCATTCCTACCAGACAGGTGTCTGTATCCCCACCACAGCTGGCACTCTGCTGTTTTAGCTGTCTCAGCAGAAAAGGCCAGGAGTCATTAGACCATGGAGATTGTACACCCCATTTCTATCAACAGCCTTTCCAGGTCACGTTCGAGGCATGTTAGTAAGGGAAGCCTGTCCTGCTGCTGCCCATGCTCTGAGGATGATTAGATTATTTCATTCTCCAGAGCTGTCAAATTGGCACCTTTCCCAAGTACTTGGACTTTTTTTCTTTTTTTTTTCTTTTTTTTTTTTTTTTCATTTAAGTAACATTTAATTACTTCTAAGAAGCCAAATTCTATTAAAGGTCTAAGCATGTCAGGCTGGTTTATTTCTGAACTTCTTCCACTGTGTCATGTATTGTTGAGTAGGGAAATTGCTTTGACTCAGAAATGTACAAACATATTCAAGAAGTCCTCCTTGTTAACACTAGGCTCCTGTTTATATGCTAGTTACCCTGGCAAAGTCTCTGATGTGCAACACTTGGCATTAACATTACACATGATCAAAGGCTTCCGTGGTTCTTTCTTCCACTCCCCCTTCCCCCAGTGCTGTGACAGCAGAGCCCCCACAGTGCCTCCCTAAGCACCTCTCCTCTCCTTTCCAAGGGGTGGATGTTCCAGATGCATAGCAAAAGGCCACATGTTGGAGGGTTAGGGATGCTGACCATGCAGACAGACACCACCCCATGGTGACATTCGTATTCCTGGTGGAGCATCCAAGGTTCTTGGTCCAGTGTCTGAGTTGAGCCGAGCATGCAGTTAATCTCACAGATCAACCTTGTTTGTCTCCAAAACCTACCCAGAGCAAGGTGAGGTTGTTCATGTGTTCTCCCTCCCTCCCTTATGTTCCAGCAGATGATAAAGGTCTGTTGAAATGTGTTTCTGATCAAGCCCGTCCCAATAAAGTTGCCTGAGCCTTTAATACATATTAATATTATCCTGGGGTAGTTTGTGTCAAAGCCTGTCAGCATGCATCATCCTTTGGGAATTACCATCATTAAGTCTCCAGTGATGGGAGTCAGGACATGCTTCTGCAAAGCTCCTGTGCTTTTATGTGGCGCTCTCTGCCTGCCTAGCACAAAGCAGACTGTTCTCCCCTCCTACCTTGCTCACCTGGACTGCTTACTCTCCCCAGAGGGGAGAAGGAGGTTTGTTTAACCCTACCTTTACATAACTTCTGCTCCTGCTGCTTTAGGCAGTCATTGTTCCCGGGAAGGAGATGACACTCAAGCCTTTGATCATGTGCAACGTACACGTTACGCATCAGATACTGCTGCAGACTCTGCCATACGAGCCAATACAGTGCAGTAAAAACAAACCTGGAGTTAGACTCCTTGTTAACTGCAAAAGCTAGCACACAGAATGTAAGAAATGTCTCAGCACTTCAGCCTTACCTCTGTTGCATGTGTATTTTGATGTTGTATCTAACTGAAGGATCGATCATACCTATTTTTCACAAAGCATGTCTGCCTCATTCAGTGCACAGAGATGCGACATGAATCAGGAGTGTGGAATAAGGTATACTCTTGCCTATAGGACTTCCTCTTTGTTTGTTTGTCAAAATTAAAAGGTGTGTAGTAAATGAGGCAGGTAATTGCAGAAAAATCACAATAGTTTTATAGCTAAGTCTTCAAATGTTGCCCTGGAGAACTGGATCCTGTTCTGCCTCTACTGCTCTGTTCCTGTCAATGCTTTTCCAGAGTCTTGAGCTCAAATGTACTATCGTGGCAGCTGAGTTTGTATTCCGTGTTTTCTGGGTGCTCAGCCCAAGACCTCAGGTCTGACCTGTGTTCCCAAAAGCAGAAGGAGGCCAGGAGGAATTCCCCTGTGGATACCCCTGTGCCATGCAGGGATGAGTGGGAAAACAGAAACGTGCAAGTCTCGAGACAGTCACCCACAAGGAGAAGACATTCAGATCCAATTTTTTCTTCACTTATTTTCCCATGTCTGTTCAGGAAAACCTTCTTCCAGTCATCCTGCAAAGATTAATTCTGTGCTTGCCAAGCATTCCAGCTCCACAGATGAACACCAGAAACAATTTCAGGAAGAGATTAAAATTTGTTCTTGCAGGTCAGGAGAAGGGATCTCTCTGGGGCAGGGGGTCAGCCTGGGAGTTGAAGAGCCATGTTTGGCTCCCTGCTCATGCAGATTTTCTCTGTGACTTTGTTAAGGCTCTTTGCTTCTTCCAGCCTCCCTCCCCCATCTGCTGCATGGAGCGGAGCGCTTCCCTGCCTCGCTGAAATGTAAGGCTGAGCACGTCAGAGGCTGTGAGAGTGGTAAGGACAGTAAGATTAGGTACTTCCAGTGTAATCCATGCTGGCAGTAGTTGGATGGAGCATACTAAATAAAGGGGAAGAGAGTAGGAGGGAACAGGGAAGCAACTTGAATGATAATGCAAAGAAATGATGACTAATGCTGCATTCAGTGAGCAGAACCATCCTGAGGACTGAGCAGGGCACAGGTCTTGTGGGAGAAAAACTGCAGGTGATCCTGTGGTTACAGATTTGTTTTGTGAAGCAGACGTACACTGGAGCCAAATTAGCATGGCACGGGCACTCTCTGTGCAGCCATTTCCAAAGTTTTGTATGCCCAGTGTCACTGGTCTCTGAGTCTAGAGGGGCTTTTTTTCCAGGTAACTTACTCAGTTTCAGGATGATTCGGCAGATGGAGGCTATGGTTCATTTGCAGTTGGCACCCTTCAGTTC